GTTGTTGTGGGAAGAGCAACTGATATCACATACCTGGATTTGTGCCTTTGACACTATCCCACACAACATCCTTGTCTCTAAATTGGAGAGGGTGGACCACTTGATGGATAAGGAATGGCCTGGATGGTCTCACTCAGAAGAGTTGTGGTCAACAGCTCAATGTCCAAGTAGTGATGAGTGGCCCTTCTCAGGGGTCAGTGTTGGGACTGGCACTGTTTAACATCTTTGTGGGCGACAGCACCAAGCTGAGTGGTGCTGCCAACAGGCTGGAGGAGAAGGATGTCATCCAGGTCCCTGGACAGGCTTGAGAGGTGGGCCTGTGCAAACCTTATGAAGTTCAACAAGGTCAAGTGCAAGGTCTTGCTCCCAGGTCAGGGCAATCCCAAGCACAAGTACAGGCTGGGTAGAGAATGGATTGAGAGTAGTCCTGCCAAGAAGGACTTGGTGGTGCTGGTAGACGGGAGGCTGGACATGACCCAGCAATGTGCACTTGCAGCCCAGAGAACCAATCATGTCCTGGGCCATATGAAAAGCAGCATGGCCAGCAGATTGAGGGAGGTGATTCTGCCCCTCTATTCCACTCTGGTGAGACCTCATCTGAAGTGCTGTGTCCAGCTCTGGGATCCTCAGCATAGGAAGGACATGGACCTGTTGGAGCAGGTCCAAAGGAGGGCCAAAAAAATTCATCTGAGGGGTGGAACATCCCTCCTATAAAGACAGGCTGAGAGGGGGATGTTCAGCCTGGGAAGGACAAGGCTCCAGGGAGACCTTATAGAACCTTCCAGTACCTTAAGGGAGCCCACAAGAAAGCAAGAGAGGGACATTTAACAAGGGCATGTAGTGACAGAACAAGGGGGAATGGATTTAAACTGAAACAGGGCAGGTTTAAATTATATATTAGGAAAAAAATCTCCACTCTGAGGATGGTGAGGCACTGGAATAGGTCGCCCAGAGAAGTTGTGGATGCCCCATCCCTGGAAGTGCTCAAGGCCAGGCTGGCTGGGGATTTGAGCAACCTGGTCTAGTGAAGGGTGCCTATACCCATGGCAGAGGAGTTGCAACTAGATGATCTCTCAAGTCCCTTCCAACCCAAACCATTCCATGATTCTATGATGTCTCACAATGTAGTTATCAAACAAGGCGCTTTGCCAGTGCTTCAAAAATAAAGCAGTAGTGTGAGGGTTTGCTGCTGTAGGTGGGTCCAGCTTAAAAACCTTTGGAGGTTGTAATTTTCTGTGCCCTTAAGAAGTCAGTTCCTCACCCAGAACATGTAACTTGCAAAAAATGACATCACAAGAGTTACAGCTCACAAGGAATTATACTTTTCCCTCAGTTTCCCAACAGTTCATTGATCTTTATTGAATCCAGAAACTAATCAGGCAAACAGAGATCAGGAAGACAAAAGCTTTAAAATGGTGAACTGAAAGTGTAAATCTGTGACAGACTGTAACCACTCAGTGGAGTAATTTAATAACCATTTAGTATAAAGATGTTGAGACACTCTTCTTTTTCACCCTGTGCTTGCTAAAGTGAGGAAAACTTATATAGTCTCTACCTGCAATAGCAAGAGCTTTTGAGAATCACCACAATATCTAACATTAACCTTCAGACACCAATTATCTCATTCAACTGATGAATTTTGGAAATGTTTTATATTTTAGTTGCAGCAACAGCATCTTCCTACCAGGGGTCTCTCTCCTCATGTCTTGACATGTCTTCTACCTCCACAGGGACACCGACAGCAAGGTTCCTCCAAAATGCAAGGAGATGGGGTCTCCACAAAGCCTCTGACTTTGGAAATCATTGCTTCTTCCCTTTTGCGCTAGGCAAACTCACACTGAATGGCTGCCTCAGTACAAAGCTGAAATGCATTTTTCAGGGAACTCTACAGTTTCCATGGGGTATTTAATTTTGTTATTGGCATCCATGGAGAACAGCATATTTGATGCAGCTTCTTCAGCTCCTCTCAAGTTGTCTTTAACCTTGTTACAGCACATTTAGGCATGGATCAAGGTACTCTTAATAGGTGCTTCAGCATACATATTTTAGTTATTTCTGCAATGCCCAATTTACTTGTTAACAGCTGATGATTGTTCCATTTAGGAAAGCAATTATTAAGATGAAAAGTTCATAAATATGAACATACTTAACAATAGTCTTCCAAAATGGAGTTAGCACATCTGCCAGCACCTATGTACAAATCAAGTTGCTGTGAAAGCCCTAATTCTCATGGTTGGGCTTCGCAAACAAAGATTTGGGAAGGGCTCTACCCACGTTTGTTGCAAGCACGTTGCTATGAAAGCCCTAATAACAATTTTTAAACCCTCAATCTTCAGATCTTATTGAAAGGATACTTTTAACTTCCTTTGTTGAATACACCATTTCAAAGCTGTTTTTCTGGAAGAGAAGCTAGAGCCACAGAAATAGGTTGCGAGCCTTTCAGACAGGATAGGGGCACTCATACATTTGTCAGCCTGAGCCAACACCAGCAAGCTTGGAGTGCTTCTGAGGATTATATAAGGCAACAACTTTATAAATACATTCTCGGTAAACAGGAGAAATTAGGCAGGGGGTCTCCTATAGACCACCAATGCAAGAACATTAAAAGGTTGTGGCAGTGCAGTACAGCTGCTCTACGTAATCCAAGCCCTGACAGCCAAGAGGTTTTACATCCTCAAGCACATGGTATTAATTTATTAATTTCTTAGGTTCAGCCTCAGCAATGTAAAGCTGTGGTTAACACAAATTATTGGAGCTGGGCAGTAACCACTGCTTTGCTTTTTCTAGCTACATTTAAGCTTCACAGTTCATATTTAAGTTTTAGCTGCTTTTGGACGTATCCATTTTAAGAGAGATTTTAGGTCATGGACTTCTTATCTGTGAAACTGTTGTCTATTGATTTATCATTTAACATTTTTCTAGTCAGAAGACATGATAAACCACAAAAATGGTAGAGGCAATTCAATACACAGTCAGAATCAAAATGTCTGCTCCACAGGAACATTCCATGTTCATCATTTGTTTGCCTGACATCAGCTGGGGCACTAAAAATGTCAAATCATGCATAGAGCGTTGGTTGTTAATACAGATTTTTGTCAACCTAAAAAGATTAAAGATTTCAAACCAATTAAAGTAATTAGATACTCAGAGTGGGGTGAAGGCACACACATTTTGTTGGCTTCATTCAAACTTTGGGAGTTAATGCAAAACAAATATGCCTCATGCAACCTTTAGAAAAGGGTAACTCTGATGTCAACATTCAGCCTGAAAAGATGCTGTTCTTTACTTGGGGAAAAAAAAAAAAGGGGAGTTGTAGAATAACTGTGGGCCAAGGAGATTGAAAGGTAAAATCCATGTAAACAACTCAAGATAGCTTACAGATACAGAAAACAAAGCAAACATTAGCTGCTTTTTGAAGCAGAACACTGTTAAATAACTTGCCATGAGAATTGAAATTCTTGTTCACATAATGTGATTTTTTACTGTTAGCCCTTATTTCTGCTTCTCTACTCTGATGAGTAGAGAACCTCATCCCTCACAGATGAGAACCTGGTCACAGACAGGGAAACTCAGGAACCATAATTTAGAATTTTGCAAGTATGGATTTGCCCCACAATAATCAAGTACATAATTCCTCATGAAGCTAAGAATCAATATTTGGGCTGTTTCCCAGTAGAGCCTAAGAGTACCTTATTCAACTCTTCTGAAATTCAAAGCTACTTCCTCTAACAGGGTATGTAGTAAATGTTAAAAAACTTGTACATGGTTCACCTCATCTTCATTGTAACTACACCATGTTCCACCCCACCCTACCATGATTCAACTTGTGGCCACCATCTGATGTCAAGACAAACAAATACTGTGCTGTTTTGAACAATTTTTACTCCAAGATTTGTTTCGGTTTTCAGCTAAGGTGACCACCCTGATCTGAGAGTCTTCTGTTCAGGGAAACTACTTCAGTCCCCCCTGACCAACATCCCACTAATCCTCTCCAGGAGAACAGGATTCCCACAAGAACCATTGTAGTGAGCTCCCAGCCTCGTAGTTCCCCTCTTTTATGTATCTTACTATTTCTTTTTATTTGTAGCTGAACTTCTGGTCATCTCAGCATGTGGGAAATAAAACCAATCCCCAAGCTCTGTCCTCCTCCTTTGATTCCCTCATGTTGCTTGAGTCAGTATCTCTCTTTTGCTCTTGCTCCCTTAATCTTATCCTAGGTGGCTCAAATCCTTTCCAGCAGTATGGTTTCATTCTTACTCCACATTCCCTTCTCTAGTTTTCTCTTGCCCCCACCCTTCCTATCTCCCAGTTTTCATTTCTCTTACTCTGCACCAGTCCTACTCAAGCACATCATTCCCCCTCCGCAGTACCAGCCCCACAGTTCTCTTGGTTTCAACGCTCCCAACTTAGTTTTTACAGCCATGTAGCCTCTCCTCCTCCAAGGGAAGTGTCCACTGGGACACGTCCAGATCACGTATTTTACTGCCTCCTGTTCCTCTTCTGCTTTTCCAAGCAGTTCACTTGCACTACTGATGTTCCCAATGCTGCCATGCAAACTAATCTGCTATAGATATAAAAACAATTTATTTAGGTAGGAAGGCTGCTACAGGATTGGACACTGGGATTGTTCTGGTAGCCTGAAGATGCTTATTGGATCTCTCTGACGTGTGACAGAAGTACAACTATGGTACCCTTTTCACTTGCCTCGCATTGCAGAATCAGGACAATGGTTATCCCTGAAGCTCTTTCTGCTGACTGAAAGGGTCTATATTCTGTCTCTTTGGGCTCAGCAGTGGTAAATGGCATAATTAAACTGTTTTCAGAAGTCTTCAGTTGTCTGTGTTTGGAAGTCCTTTAGAAAAATGAATGTGCCCTAACAACTGGCAAGCAGAAAGACATCCTGGTGTCTACTGAACTGGAAATGCACAAACTGACTGGCCAAAAATGCATCAGCTGCAAGGTTACTTCCTTCAATTCTGAACAAGCACTTCACGCATACAAAGTAAAGCACCACTACTAAATGAGAATGTTCAACATCACTCTAACAGTACACCACTGCTGCTTACTTTAAAGCCCAGTGTTTCGCCCTTTACACAGAACGGTTATGAAACTTGGTATTACTTCACACTAAGAGAGAAATATATATGAAAAAATCACCAGAGTGCAACTGTACAATTTTAATGTATTGCAAAGGCTTGTCTTTGGAAACAGGTTCTAATGCTACTCTTGCACACAGGTACACTTCCAAAAGACCGTGTTGAGTATCTCTTATTGACACACATCAATATGCCACACTCTTATTGAATTTCACATGAAGAAACTATTTCAGATGAGAACTCTTTGTTTGCCTAACAATGCACTGCAACTGTGTAAAAACTACTCAGAAGAATTATGAAATCCATTTAGTAAGGCCACACAACATTAGAAGTCCAGTATATTGAATAAAATAATTTTATTTTTATTTAATTCATTTGTTTTTTAAAAGAAAGTTTATGGAATCTGAAAGTTTATGATAAAAGGTAATTTTTAACTGAGACTTAATATGGGAGATTCTCTAGCCAAAATATGTCAAATAGTAAGATCATAAAGAACTCCAAGGTTCTGTGCTATACTGCATGATATGTAAACAGATTTTGAAAATATTTCCCCATTATATATTTTGACACAGTATGCACAAATTTAAAAAAATAAACTTGAAATGAAGTTTAAACGCCTCAAGGGATTTCCTAGAAGTAAAGCCATTTGAAAAGCCATTTACAGTCTGCGGTGACAAACTTCTATATAATCAAAATATCTCCTTTTTTCACAATGCAGAATAACCTGCTGAAGGCAACTCCCTACTGAAGTGATGCCAGCAACACAGATCTGATTGTATGACTCCAGCACTTAAAAGAGCACATTGGTTATACATGGCTTTTAACCCTGGGCTACAATTATGCTACCAGAACTAAATTCAAGTCTAAATCAGTCACATAAAGAAGTGTGTGTTGTCTGAACACTGTTTAAAGTCCGTGTTTTCCAGATCTGATGAAGGTGGTGAAGGCGCTCTGAGGTTCTTGTGCTTACATTCAGGGCAGGATGAACTTTGCAAATACCAGATTCTCCAATTAATGACAAACCACAGATCCCAAAGTAGGCATGTAAAGCATCTGAAAGAAGGACAGAAAAGGAAAAATAAAATTATTTCAGGCTGTAATAGCCAAATGTTCCTATATTCAAACACCCCTGAACAATTACATCCAAGGAAAACAAATAATCAGGTGCTATATTTTAAATCTGAGTTTTGACAGAAGGAATCAGTTTTTGTCCAAAGCAGAACCAGCATGAACTAGTGTCTAGTTTTGTTTTATAACTACTTGCACACTACTTTACTTTTTCTGAGTGCCATGGCCAAAGAATTTAAGCATCTGGAAACAACTCCAGTCCAGAAAACAAATATTTTTCATGAAAGCATTTTTGGTTGATAATTTTATGAACAGCTGAACTATTATGAAGTATTATGAACTACTGAAACACTAAAATTAGTGCCAGTAGCTGCCAATAGCAAGATTTAGAGGAATGAAAGAAGTAACTACTTTTCCTTGCTTCACTCCTTCCTGAGAGAATACCCTAAGGATAGGAATTCATGCAGCTTGATCAACTGCCACCATTTCTTGTTCTATGTTGCTCCTGCTGCCCACCTTACACCAAGCACTACAGCTTGCCAAATCTGCCTCCTCTGGGTAGCAGCAAGCTATCAGATTGGATTATCTGCCCATGGAATCATAGGCTAAAATGGAAAGAAGATGTGAACTTCATACACCCCTTGCAAATTCTCAACATATATTAATCTGTGGAGGTGTCAGTAAATTCATATTTGACTAAAACGACCACAGAATCATTTAGGAAAAGACCTCTAAGATCAGAGTCCAACCCTTAACCTAACACTGCCAAGTCCAGCACTAACTCATGTCCCTAAGTGCCAAATCAACACATCTTCTAAAAACCTCCAGGGATGGTGACTCCACCATTTCCCTGGGCAGCCTGTTCCAGTGCTTAACAACCCTTCTGGTGAAGAAACTGAACTATACCTCCCTCTTTCCATTTCAATCATGATATTCTCATTACATTTTGAGGGATTTTTTTCCTTTTTTTTTTTTTTGTTGAAGCAGACAACTTCCTTTATGCCTCTCAGATGTCGGACTGCTGCAATGTATTTCTAGCTTAGAACACACTCACCATAATATTTAAAAGTAATTTTACCTGGATGGCTATCTGGCCACTTGGCAAATCCACCAACAAGGCGATCTTGAGTTGACAGGATGTAATTTCGGTTTTTCTCAAAATTTGTATATTGGAATATATTCAAGAGCTGAAATTAGACCATAACAGTAATATAGTAAATCTTAGTATATTTTTAATACTAAAATGTAGCGCTTATTTTAGAGGTAAGCAGTGACAGCAGAGAAAGCAGTAATCTGGTAAACCTCTATTTCCTGCCTTTTTGCAAGATGAAAGATCTTTATAATCATCAGTGCATTTGTGTTAAATATCTAACTCTTTCAATAGAGAAAATGATGCTTAAAGAAATCAAAACAAGTCAATAACTATCCTGTAGCTGTTCTGCACACTACCTTCAATGTTGCTCCCACCCAGAAGGAATAGCAAGTGTCTACAGGTTTGTTGGGTCGTCCATGGTAGCCATTCTGTTGTCTCATTATACACCATCTTCTTATTCTGTTCAGTTCTTTTTCTGAAAAAACTTCTTCCAGTTTACCCATCAAACACAGCGATGCAATACCACAAAATGTAGAGCCACCTGTGAAAAGAGAATCTTGTATTTGCAATGCTTTGATACCCAGGTTTTCACCAAAGCCTGTATGATCTCAGACAGAACTTTAAGGTGTTAACAATTAAATCAATGGATTTTTAGGAGTATGAAAATGTTAAGTTTAAAATCCAAATAGATAGAACACTTTAGTTCAGCAGGTATGTCAAAGAGGAAAAAATGCCCTCAACCCAGCTCTTGCACAAATAAACCTGAAATAATTTTCTTAAAGCTGGTTTTTCTCTCAATGCTGTGCATTTCTTCATATGTAACTTAAAAAAGAAAGCTATTGGGATGCCAGCAATCAGAGAGAAGCAGAGATGCCAAAGCCAGTCTCAGATACAATCCCCCAGAGGACATAAACAGACAGAAGTGTCTGGTGAGCAGAAACTAAAAAAAAATTCATAGTTAATACTGTGAAAAGACTCTTGGACTCTCATGTTTGTAATACGTACAAATTGTGCTTCTAAGGAATTTTATACTGTCAAGGAAACTCCATGGTAAAATTTGGAATTAGAAGAGAAACTCATGTTCTTTGTTTCTGTAGCATGATCATCACTTTTTAAAGCCCATCTACACTTATTATGAGTTTATTCCTTGATATGATAAAATTAGAGGCTGGGAAGGACCATAAAAAAGCTGCTGACAGATGATCTGGGGCCCAAAGTTCCTCACACTATCCTGGTCCTGGAAGACCCCAGGAGCCCTAAGGTTATGTTCATTCTGATGCAAGAGAAGGCTGCTGCCGTAATGCTATCTGTTATCACTAGCACTCTACAGAAATTTAGTTAACCAATTGTTTTAATATGTAGGGATATAATTTAAGTTTTTCAGCTTTATCGATTCTGCAAGAAGAAAACAGATGAAATCCCATCAAAGCTCAATAATAAGGATAAAGATAGCAAACATTTGATAGAATCATAGAATCAACTCAGGTTGGAAAAGACCTCCAAGATCTTTGAGTCCAACCTTTGACCAATCCCCACCTAGTCCAATAGACCACAGCACTAGATTTAGTATCACTCATATAAAAGTCAATAGTTTCTCTGTCACAAGCAGACCACTACTTCAGGGCATAGAAACATTCTGCTAAAAAACAGCAGTCTCTTGGAGATTCCTATCTTCAGAACTACCAACTGTCCACAAAAACTAACTGCTGCTTCAAGATCTGAGCTGACAACAGATGCTGTGACTTATGAGAGAAAATGTTTCTAGATTTTACTAATAGCTACTGAAACTGGAGATCATCTGGTGCACTGCACAAAATCTCTTGCAGATAAAATCCACAGAGTAGCAATGGAACATGTGGAAAAAGTTTGATCTGTCAGCAAGAGATGAGAACCACAGCCAACACCTTTCAGTAAAACATTAATGAGGTATAATTAATGGAGTTAATATATTAAGAGCCCATCTGTTCTGATATTAGGCTGGAACTAAGGGAAGAAGATGTCATGTTCAGGGGCATGTTTTGGATTTGCTCCTCCTCATCCCACTTCCTCAAAATCAGAAAAGAAGGAAAGGTATATCCTGCACCTCTTACAGCATTTTCAATCCCAGTCTTAAAAACAGGTTTAGAACATTTTAACATTCTTACCATGAGATTCCAGTCCAGCTCCCTGGGCCAGGCCGTTATCATAAGACTGAAGAAAAAAAATCCCACACACCAGTTGGTTTAGTACCACATCACTTTCACAGACATTGTAATTTCTTAGTTTACTAGCAAAATTGTCATCAGACCATAAGCACCATTTAACCTGATTAAATTCTGGACCTCCAAAGGCTCTTGGCCCCAAGCAGTTAAAAAATCAGACTTATTTTAATGTAGGCAGCTTTTATGACTTCCATGGAATTAATTTTAGTTGTGACGTATGTTAAAAGTCTGAAAATGGGTAAACAAATCTTTGCCAAAAAGTAAAAGCATGTGATGCAGATAACCATTAAAGAAAAAGCCAAACCCATTTTTTTGTCCTTATAAAGAAAAAATGGGTACGTAATCAAAACAAAATTAAATGGATAATGTAATCTGTCTCTAACCCAAGAGCTGGCTAACATGCAAAAATTCAAGGTACTACTGTGTGTACAATACTCAAATCCAAGAAGTGCTTTAGTAAGAAGCAAATGTATCAGGCTTAAAAAAAAAAACAAGGGGGAGGGAACCAGAAGCAGTAAGACAAAATCTTTCCCTCATCCCCTCTATGGACTATGAATTTCTCATGTTTTCTCCAAAACACTCAACAGTGGCTAGTAGATACAGGACTCCTTGACAAACCACTAATGACTCCCACAGTCCTAGCCAAAGAATGGCTACAGGACCTATCATGCCTTTAGGAATTACCTAAGGATTGTTTTGTAGATCTGCTTTTAAAGCTGACATTGAGAACAAAAAAGGAAACAGAAGCAGACAAAGAAGTTAGATTAAAACTACATTGCTCAGTTTTTGAGTTGTTGTTGCAAGTTTAAGCAACTAAAAAGACTAACATCTGACACATACACTTCAAGCTGCAGCTTGACTTTCTAAAATCTGAACCAGTTAATTTTAAGCAATCCCCATGAATGTCTGAATGTTAAAGCACACGGTGTGACCTCTTAGGCACTGCCTTTTGAGAAAGCAATGCAAATGTTCTACCACACTCCACAGACCCATTAATTGCTATGCAAAGGCAAGGTGATTAGCAAAGCTATGCTGGCAAAGCTAATTACAAACAGCAATTGTAAGAGGAGGTGGTTTGCTTTAGTATGACAAAATAATTAGCTCCAGAAAAAAGCTGTTAAGAGTGTATCCCAGGCAGTCTACTATACTGGGCTGTTCAATTAGCTTGAAATTCTAATCGACAATAACTGACCTTTGGCTTAACTTATTTATTTACAGGCAGCAGCTGTTTTTCGGGGACTTGTGTGCATTAAAAAACTAGGGAAATACTTCTATTTCTTTGTCCTTCTGAAAGAAATCAAGAAGCTATGCAAAAGACGTTCTGGGTTACTGCAACATGAAAACTTCATAATTAAATACTATCCTCAGAAAACGTGTAAATCCAGTTGGGATTTGAAGCAAATCTTTGCTTCCAAGTCTGAAAGTTTCACAACCAGCTTAATTATATCAACAGACTAATATAACTGCATTTCAAGGAGACTCTATGATACTGGCACAAGCAGATGCTATACTTAAAGCTTCTTGCAATATCTCTACTTTAAAAAAAAACCCAAGTAATGTTGCAAAAAGCAGTATTATAGAGTCTCTAGAAGTAATGTAAAATTTCAGCATTTTAGTGTCTGTTGTGTTTTGATTAGTGATATACCTGACTTTTGAACATAAAAGACAAATATCAACCTGTACTGATAAAAATTGTGTGATGGAAATTCAACTATTTTAGTGACAATAAAACTGGTCTAGAATTATTTTTGTGATCAGCATTGCATAAACACTTTTTAGTCAAGCAATAACAATAAGGCTATCCATTCTGTATAAAGACTCAATTCTTTTTAAAATTTTAAATCTTACTTAATGTACCAATCTTCTGCTGTTCTTGATATGCCTAACTACACAAACATGCTCCCTCCTTCAGCTGTATTGAATTCTATCTGTCACAATTCTTATGCTGCATCATGGAAGGGAACAAATTTCCAAGAATAAGCTAGAAAATTCACAACCTTATTACAAAGATTACTGTGTTTAACCAGCCATGCTACTCTCAGTCCATATTAGTTGCAATTCACATGTATGCCAATCTGGAAAACTGGAAAAAGTTCTGTTAACTGTCATGTGCTTCATTTATGTGCAAATGATGACATACAATAGTAAATCAAAACCACACCTTTCTGTCAAAGCAGTTTACTACTGAGCAAGGCAATCTCTTTTGTTCTATAATTAATGAAAGTGACAAAACAAGGTGATACTGTAGCAAAACAGGAATAAGCATTTGCAATAGAGTCTATACCTATATGCACTGCATAGTTAGCTACACAACGAGTAACAAATGATATAATCTCAAATAGAATTTCCTTTGAATTGTTCTATACATAGGTTATTTTTAGCATCATCTACAAAATCTTAATGGGAGAAATCGAGCTTACATTTGTGGATGCCACATTTCAAATTCATTGTATTTATTTATGAGACACACTTTCAGAAATACTGTGTTCATATGAGAGGTAACTGAACTGGAATACATCTCAAGGAGAGTGGTGGAAAGAGATGAATGAAAGGAAGGAACAACCACTGCTGTGAAATGATTTTCACAATGAATGTCTGAATCCCTGAACGTCTGAGTCTTCTTCAGACACATCTTTAGCTCTAAGTGTGACTAAGCAGGAGGCAAAGGTTGTGTGTAGTTTCCTAGAAGTACCAGACACCTTGCAACTGAATTAATGCATTGAAATACTGTCTGACCAAGCAGTCCAAACCCAGAAAACACAGATGAAACTGGTGCACACGTGCATACCAACCCCAGAGTGAATTAACAGCACACCAATGGTTTTAAAAAAGTCCTACTGAACGAAGTGTATAGTCAACTTACCAATTCACAGTAAACCTGGACAAAAATACAGCATCTCATCACACATTTCTACATGCTAAGATTGTAGAACAGAACGCTGCTGATAGGATCTCTATAAGTTACTCTCTGAGCCAGCCAGGAAAAGACACAATCTTCGTTATAAGCCACAGTAGCTTCTCAACTTTGACCATGCCCAGACTCCGGTTTTACGTCACTGGTCAAATGAAGTATTAGTACAAGCCCTTCCAAGAAGTCATGCTCTGTTCAGGCTTCAATTATTTTAATTATTATTTAATTATTATTTTAACTGGTATCAATTATCCCAATAGGAACACAACAATTGGAATTTGCAGGTACAAGGATTAATGCTAAGTTCTAGAAGCAAAGCATAAATTTGGTTCAAGATCACTGTAGACAGTAAATCTCCAGTGCCATTTCAAAGCTCCAAACTTTCAAAGAATCTCCACTCGCCTGCTCTATTAATGGCCTTATATGATACTCTCTAGCTTTGTCTTAGAAAGCAAGAGTTGCTTCCTCCTCCCTTCATCTTTTCAGTGCTACTTATTTCTTTACATACCTCTGTCACACTGCACTTAACAATCTTATTTCCAGAATAAAGAGTCCTAGTATATTAAATGCTCCTTTTACAGAAGCTGGATCGTACTTTCACAGTTCAATTCAACTTTCTTCGTACCCTGTCCAGTTCCATCTTATCTTTTGGGACCAAAACTGCACTCAAATGCTCAAAATGCTAACTAACAGTCAGTGTGATGTACAGAACTACAAAATGAGGATTTTGCTCTTTCGTTTTCTGTTCTTAGTATTTGATTCTCCTATTCGATTTCTTCTAAGTTATTTGACTAAAGGCTAAACTCAGTAAACACAAAGGTCCAGAAAGGATCAGAGGAGGAAAAATCCTCCTGACCTAATCAGTAAAAGCTAGCACTCTGCCCTGGCTCCTCCCTCAGACTGTGAAAGGAGAATGGATAAATCACTGTCCCCAGGTGAAACCCACCAAGAGTATTCAGCAGGGATATTCTCACCCTGGGAACCTCTGCTACTGAGTTACCACCCACTGGGTAACGGGGCTCTTATGGGATGCAGGGGAAGAAAATTGCAGGATTATAAAAAAAAACCCACCAACTTATTATGGAGTATTCTCTGGGGAATGCAGGAGTGTGCATAATTTATTACAGAGTGTCTAGGGAAAGGATCAATGGTGAGAAAGGGAAGTATCAAAGCAGACTGAGGAAGAACAAGCAAAAGAAAACAGAGGTAAAAGGTGCTACTAGAGTGTGAACAGACTGCAGGTCCATATGCTCCTATGACTGAGCCCTGGCCTTGACCCCTTAGTCCGTCCAAGACCATGGCAGTGTGTCAGAAAGCTTCTTGTGAGGTACAGTAAAAGAAACTTAGGCATCCAACTACCTCCTTTAAAAATAAACAAGAAATAAAACCCAATTTGGTATGAAGCAGGAAATTAAGCCTTTTTTAGACTTGTTTCTCACATAAATTTTACAATCTCACTGCTGGCAGCAACTACTCATTTACAGTGGAAGCTGTACGTTGTTATAAATTTGGGTCTTTTTTGTGGACCGAAAGAGTTTACTACACCTTTACTCACATTCGAGGAACTGCAGTTTTCAAGCTTGCTCAGCTTCTTTAAACAAGATTTATTTTAATCTTGGAAAATGAAACTCAATTAAACTAATGAAATATCACAGGGGGAAAAAAAAGAAAAAACTCCTTTACTCCAACCAAATATGAAGACAGCACACAGATATAATCATGTGTATTTTCCTTCATTCCAAGTATGTAACAAATAAATAATGAAATGCATAATTGGAAACACTGATTAAGTATGAACTGATGTCAATAATTAGTTTTTCCTTTAAATCGGTGTATCTTTTAAAAATCAGGCCTACAGGTCAATGAAATGTGAGGATTTTATTGATACAGTGCTTTATATACTTTTTCTAAGTTACAGGAACATCAGGCCCCAGTTTTCAAAAACTTGCTTTAAATTTTTTAATGATTTTATATATTTTTAAAAGATTTAATTTGAAATGAACAAACATACCAAATAAAATTATCTTGATAGCACACCCATTACAATGAAAATATAAATGCAAAAAAACCAATGTACTTTGTCAATTTCGACTTGCTAAAGCAGGAAGAGGAAATAAAGGAATTACCATAATACATAAATTTGGAAAAAGAGATTTTTTAGCCATAATTAAGAAATAAAGCTATAAATGTTAAACTGTAGAAAGAAATAACATTTTGTGAATACTCACCATACTTCTTCTGATGTAGTCTATAGCTTTCTTCATATCCATGCCTGACCAGTTATCGAGCATGTAGCAGATACAGGAAGCACAGTACACAAACCTCATATCATTCTCACTTCCTTCCAGCACAGCACAGAAACTGAAAGAAACATTTCTGTCTTAGACACTGTGTCGCCTGTTACACCAGAAAATACGAAAAGCAGTTCATAGAATTGCACTGTGTTTCCTTTAAAGATTAGTTACTTCTATTTACAGTAGTCTCATAAATATTACCCAAAGCTATGCTAGATTTTGTTTTTAGAAGACGTGACTCTAAGCCAAGGAAAATGAATAGAACTACTAACATTTCAGGGCCTGGGTGACTATTTCTAGCAATGTAATGACACTGGGCTTTATTTATTCATTCATACTGTTTATAGTATATACTGATATATGAGTTAATATTTTGACATTTACTGTTTTGGGCAGGATTTTTTGCCTTCCTAGGAATCCTAATAGCTCACAAAGCTATCTTTCCTGATTTTATCTTCAGGATCAATTTCCAATGTATGTGTAAATGTAATTGCTAATACTAACACAAACGGTGAAAATAGCCTTCAATTCAGTTTTTCATTTCTTATGGTTATAACCTTTTCAAACTCCATGAACATTTTAAAATTATTGTATCTGGGTTATTTTGGCACAATCTCAGAAACTCTTAAAATGATGGATTCTATGATTGTGATACTTGTATAAGAAAATGGCCAGCAGGGCCATGACAGTGACCGCCTCGCTGTTCTCAGCACTGCTGAGGCTGCACCTCAAATCCCGTGTTCAGTTTTGGCCCCTCGCTACAAGAAAGACACTGAGGTGCTGGAGCGTGTCCAGAGAAGGGCAAGGGAGCTGGGGAAGGGTTGAGAGCACAAGTCTGATGACGAGCAGCTGAGGGAGCTTGCAGCAGTCAACCTGGAGAAAAGAACACTTGGGAGACTTATCACTCTCTACAACTACCTGAAAGGAGGTTGTGGCAAGGTGAGGGTTGGTCTCTTCTCCCAAGTGGGACAGAGGAAATGGCTACAAGTTGTATCAGGAAGGTTTAGATTGGGTATTTGGAAAAATTTCTTCACCGAAACAGGTTGCCCAGGGAAGTGAGGGAGTCACCATCCCTGGAGGTATTTAAAATACCAACAGATGTGGTGCTTAGGGACATGGTTTAGTGCTGGACTTGGCAGTGCTGGGTTAATGGTTGGACTTGATATTAGAAGTCCTTTCTAACCTAAATGATTCTATGATAAACAGAAGTAGGTAAAAAGTTGAATTACCTGTGACAATAAATAATCTTCAACTGTTTCTTGCTGCCTGACAAGCCTCTGGTTCAAAGAGCTAGTTAATATACTTTGATGACAACTATTTGCAAGAAGGCAGCACATGCACTGGCATGTGTTCTGTGACTGATATTGTTTCTAACAGAACAAAAAGATTATACAGCTACTTTCATAAAAAATGTGTTTCTTATGTTTCTTTCCACATGTGGCTTACTATTAACCATCCAGAGAGTTGCAGACCACAAAATATCTTTTACCTTCCATCCTCCAGCTGGAGAGCTCTCAGTCCTGTCAGTATGGCATCTTTATTTACTCGACTTAAATCATCTCCAAGAATAACCAGACATGATAGACCTGTGTAAGTCATTGCTATGTGCCCGCTATCATAGGGATGAGATATACCTGGACCCTAGAAAAAACAGGAAAAAAATAAAGATATTGAAACATCACAATGCCTTCTATTACAGTCAAGCTTTTTTTTTCCAATTAAGAGGTAAACAAATTTCTTTTCCCTTGACTCACTATGGTTAAACTGAAGGCATCCTGCTCAGCTTTCCTCATCAAATGAAGCTACTACTAAGCTCTGTTACCCTTGTAAACACTTGGTCAGAAGGAAGCTTTGGAAAAAGCTCTGCCACGAGTTATATTTATGCAACAGTTAAGCAAAAAGATGGGATGTCCTCAACTGTACCTAAGTTTATGCTGACACAACACTGGGCATTAGCTTCCTGGCAGCTGGGTAAGCACTGTTAAACAGCCAAACCTCTGGAGGTCCCCTCAGCAAAGATTTTACAACCTAATGATCTACAAGTACAAAGCAATATGAGAGATTATTAGTAATCTCTCTGTCAATTGAAGTAATACCAAATTAGCCACTCATCTGCTTTCATGTCTATTTTAATACAATAATCAGAGCTTAAACAAAGTATTTACATACCAAATAATCAGAGGAATATAGAATATACTGTGTTGAAGGGACACACAAGGATCATTGAATGGCAACTGAGAAGCTAAACTGAGAGTTAAGTGCTGACTAGTCACACAATACAAATCACAGAAATGGACAGGGGATTGATACTGCTGTGCTAAAACTATTATTTGTCTTTCTGGTATTTTACAGGCACATCTTGAACTGTATGACTTCATGAAAACAGACACTACATGTAACAAGATGCCTGTGGATACTTGGGATGGTTCAGTTTGGAGCAACTGGAAGACAACTATTTTAAACAGGATAAAAGCTATTTCAATACTGAGTAGCAGATACATTTTTAAATCATTATATTACTGGCATTACTGCCTAATCAGTTGCCATTTTTATTTTGCAAGTAATTCTAAAAAATTCTAAATAAAAACCAGTATAAAACTGAATTTAATATTATGTTATGTGTAGTTGGTATTTTCCAGGAAAGTCATGCTTACTTCCAAAGCCAAAAAGCTTTGTTTCTAATAGGAAACCGGAAGAAAAATAATTACCCACTAGACAGCAAGGGACTGCTCTCACACTAGGGAATCAAACACAGTTGGGAAAGCGAGGCTGATGCCAGCTCAGCTGATGCTAAGAAAAAAACTAAGGAGCAGTTAACTGAGGGTGAGATAAGGGAAGGGTTTAATTTGTGCCAAGGCGTAGATGTTACAGGACGCGCACCGGCTGTGCCTGAGATGTTACATTTTATAATACTGCTTCACCAACCCAAGTTTTGCCCACCCTGTAGCCTTTGCTCTGGTCCGCCCCAGGCCCACCCCCTGGGAATTAGAGTCTAGGGTGTATATCAGGACCCCCTCTTCATCATTCTCATCATCCTCAGAGCACAAAGGGTACACGGTCAGTCAAGAACAACAGTTCTTGACTCTGTTCTGTTGTTCAGGCCAAGATATGAATGTTCTCTAAAACAGCATAGGCCTTGCCTTGACAAGAGACTAAACATTTCTACTGAATTCAGGGGTAGGATTGATATAGGGAGCATGGAATGGGGTAGGAGGGTTGAGGTATGTGTAAACTAAAGGGTGCTAAAGGGTGAGGAATACAATATAGCTGCTTCTAAAATCTACTCCTACTATAATTACATAAAAAGCTTATAAAAATTAGCAAAGTAAAAAAAAAACCTAAAAGGGTCTTAAGGCATCAAGGCAGAAAATGAGGTGAAATGACTGCAGCAGTACTGAAAAAGCTATGGAACAGAGAAAAACAAGAGACTTAAGTGCTGAGAGCTGCATCTTTTCTCCTTCATTTCTGCTCCTGGACCCTGTGATGACAAGGGGGACAAATCTCAGCAGCTCCCACTCCATTCCCTGTGCTGCCAGTGCCCACATTGCTGTCTCCTGTCCTGCACATCCCCCAGTCACACACACACAACCACAGAGTGGCAGAGGCTGCAGGAGCTCTGGTGTTTGTCTGGTCCAACCTCCTGTTCAAGTATTGTCACCTACATCTGGGCACCCAGGCATCCAGATGGCTTCTGAACACCTCCAAGAATGGATATTCCACCAGCTCCCTGGGCAACCTTGCTAATGCCTGATCACCCTCACAGTGACACTGTTTCTGGATGTTTAGAGGAAGCTTCCTGTATTCTAGTGTGTGCCTGTCACTGGGCACCACTGGAAAGAGCCTGGCTCCATCCTCCTTGCACCCTTCCTTCAGGTATTTCTACACATTCATGAGAAACCCCCAGACCTTCTCTTCTCCAGGCTAAACAGTCCCAGCTCTCTCACCCTTTCCTCCTAGGAGGGGTGCACCAGTTCCAGACAGACTTCCCCATGGAGTACCCCACAAATGGAGAACAGCTGTGCCCTTAAACAGCTTAGAAAAAAACTACTGCAGTAATGAAATGCATTTTTCTATCTTGAGTGGATGACAGGCTCTAATCCCAGAAGGAACAAGTTGGCCTACCATAGCAATTTTAGGGTTTTTAAATCAAACAGTACCAAAAAATTTTTTTTCAGAATACCTTCACCTTAAAAATTTTATTGTAAGCAGCTTCACCTATTTCAAATCTAAAATTCTGCTCCAAACATACAGACATATAGGGTGATACAAATTTGCCAACACCTAGAACTATTTAGTTCAATTAAACTGATTTACTTTTAAGCAAAGCAAGTCTCTATTCTAAAAAGCCAAATTTGAACCGGTTCTTTCCCTAAAAGGATTCTCAACGTCCCAGTTCTGCCCCTAAAGTTTCTCACAGTTTTTGTCAAATGAAATAAATGACACACACTAGGCAGTAAAAATCCCTGGAAAGGTTATCAGATATTAGGACCAACTGCTTACAAAATGTCCCAGCAGTTCCCATCAGCAACTACGAAGAAAATTAAGCTTCCAAACATCTACGTAATTTAAGTTAAAAGTAGAATCAGAGGAGCACTTGATTTCTTCCTCCTTGGACTAACCTAGAGCAAGGGAAATGCAGAAGATGCCTCTGCTGATTTCAAACAAATACAACTGAGCCTGCGAATCAACATTAACTGTTCACCATGGCTGTTCACACACTTTTATAGGTAGTTCATCTCCAAATAAATACTGACATCAGGAATAACTGAACAGTAATATGTACAATGAAAGTTTGCCTTTACATTTGAATATATTATTTCCACAGGAAGACTACACTCACTGAGCAAGGAAGGTTTACAGAAGTATATTGAGACTTGCTTTTTAAAACCATATTTATAAAAAGTCTACTCAAATGTTCTAACTAAAAGAAATATGCCTGACTATTCAGGAAATTTTCTAAGACATCTACAGTTGTCAAACAACGTTCTCCTCTAAATGACAATCTTTTCACAGTGTCTACATAAAGTAACTGAAAATCACTAGATATTTTTATTCTACTTTTCTATATACATGCTAATTTTACATTGCTTTTAAAGCCTTAGTAGCCAACAAATATGTTTAAACAACTGAGCCCTTACTTTTTAGCGAACTCTTTATTTTAGCATTTCTTTTACACCACTAGTTGCTGCAGCAAAAATAGGCTGCAGACAAAGTGTTATAAGCACATATACTGTATGCTCACAAAACACACCACCATTCCTCCTCTAGCAAATTGCATCAATCACGACAGCACCTGAACAACGTATGAATTCTATCTGTACTTGTTTCCTATGCAAATATTTCAAAATGTAGCAGTAGCACACTGCTTTTCCAGACAGAGGTTTTCAGAAACACCTGAGCCGTGTAAAATTTTTCAAGTCTGGTATTTTTAATAAAGAACACAAATAATACTGGTATGACACATATAAAGCAAACAGTAGTGTCTGCTGCCTGTACATGCAATCGTGAAGTCCACAGCTACATTAGTATTGTCACTCACTTCTGTCCTTGAATACCAAACAAATCCTTAAGCAGAAAAGACTGCTAGGATAGATGGGTTGTAATGTTGTTTTGTGGGAAATCAGGGAGATGGTGTCAGCGTTCAAGAACAGCTACTTGTAAGTCACAAAACTGCCTTTGGTACTAATAGTTTTCTCTTATCACAGGATTATCATGTGGCAAGTAATTAAATTCTTTATATGATAAATCGGTATACTGCTAGGTATCTTGATAAGTAATTACTGAAAAAGCCAGGGGACACTACAGAGGGTCCAACATACTGGTACGCATCCAATGTCTTGACAACTCTGGGTTAGGTCCAAAAATCCTAACAAATACAGTCAATATTTCCATAAAATCAAATTAAACACAGGAGGATCAGCACGAAGTATGAGATCATACAGGAATTACTGTATGACATACTCATAGAGGCCAACATGATGTTTCAGATGTGTAATTACTGTAGGATTTTTGAAAGTTTGGAGAGCCTAGCAGATCCTTTGTTCACCACACATGATTTTAGAAAAAATTAAAACAGTATTCACCATAAGAATAATATACTCTTAAACTTTTAAGTCTACTAGAATGCACTTTATCTTCTAGGTTCCATGTAATTATTGCAAGATCACTGTAATACTACTTATAAAATTTTATGTTGTATCTACACACACCTATATATACTTCACACACTTATGCAACAGAACACAGAGCCCACATAATAGGATGTTTTTGAGGGGACAACAGTCAGGACAATTGGATGTTTCAGACAAAAAAAACCCCTCCAAAACCAAAAACCCAAATTTTCCATAAAATTGAAAATTCCTAAAATTTGTAGTAACTGGTCCTGTGACAATTTGGTACCACAAAACAGGACTAGAATGGATTCCCCAAATGCAAAAAATTACAGCAGATCTCAAAGGTTTCATGAGATAACTGCCAATATGTCTAAAATTTGCATGGGTGGGAGGAAGTGTTGCTAGACTGCCTCTGCTACGAAGAACAAAGTAATTCAGAGATTGCGTAGAAATCGTATCGAAGACAGCATAGTCAAAGCACATGATCAGGTTTGGTAAAAATAAGTTAACTTTTAAGTTCTGAATTAT